TACGGCTGACCTTACAGAAGAAAACATCGAAAGAGCAGATCTGATATTTTAACTGCTTGCTACAAGTAAACGGTTGAGCAATGTCTAAATGTTTTTAAATGTCTTTGGAAGTTGCGAGTTATATGGAGGTTTGCCTTGAGAAGGACAGTCTCAACCACCCACATCGTAAAAAACATGATATAGAAGCAAATTCTTTTCTCCATGTAAGAATGCTTTTCCTGTGCTCATGGGCTAGCAAAAAAAAAACGAAAACTTCCAAAAGTGCCTTTTCAGACGTAGGATTACTCTGAAAACTTCAAAAAAGCAGACTGCTTTTGCAAAAATGGAGAATTGTCTGCATTGGAAAACCATCATCTTAAAACAACAGGAACATAATAGTGATGTCAAATAGAGTCACCTACAAATGATAACAGTTTAACAACCTAGGAGGTATAAAGTTTGATCTAAGCCGAAAGCGGCCATGCGTGCGAGCGAGGCGTGAGCAAGCGTACAGGGGCTTATTCTGAGTGCCACGGCCGACACGGTTCAGGTACTCGCGAGCCTCCTCGCTTGGGTCTTTCACATGGTACAATACCGCATCCGATATCGCGAAAACCTTAGCGGATGCGTTATTGTACCACGTGAGACACCGAGCAAGGCGGCTCGCGAGGAATCAAACAACGTCGACTGTGTCACAAAGACTGAAAGCCCCTCTATGCATTAACAATGAAAGATACGTAAAGGCCACTTTTGCTTACGATGCGGAGTAAGGCTCTGGCCAGACTTCGCCCAAAAGCGGTCAAAAGCGCCCAAAAGCGCCCAAGAGCGCCCAAACTTCTCTAACCTCTCCTCACTCTCTCTCATCTCTCCTCACACGAGAAAGTGAAGAGACACCAGAGAAATTTGGGCGCTTTTGAGCTCTTTTGGGTGCTTTTGGCCGCTTTTGGGCGCTTTTGAGAGCTTTTGAGCGCCTTTGAGCGAAGTCTGGCCAGGGCCTAAAACTTTATACTTGTTCGATAAGATAGCATTTAGTTAGGGTTTAGGCAAGTGAAGAACAACAGCAACGAAACGCTGAATCTGATAAAAGCAAAAAGATAAAAGTAAAAAGAATCATAAAAGAACCAAAAAGATAATTGAACAAACCTCCATAGAGAAGATGTGTCAGATACATGGAGATTTCAACGACGCAAAAAACGGTGCGAATGCTCCAACAGGAACCATAACCATCTGAACTTTCGGCTGGTTGAAACGTCCTTGGCAGGTATGCCCCGTCAGCATAAGGGAAGTGTAGAAACAAAGCTGAAAGAGGAAAACAATGGAAAAATCGAAATTGGTCAAGCATGCGGTAGTTGTGCTATCGGAATTCTCAAAGAGATCAAGGAAAAGCTTAGTCAGGCAATGAGGAATCGACAACCGTGTGCTGTTCAATTAAGACGTAACAAACATAAAATAGACATACACCGACAGTGAATTTTAAGATCAGCAAAAGCTCAGATAAACTCAAAACTTGTTGTGTCTTACAAAAACCTTAGAAAAACTTAGAAAAACCCATCATGCCAGCGATTTTTGAACATTTGTGACTGTTTTGGGTGACAAGTATACCTCAGTAGCAAAAGAGAAACATAGAAAATAAAGAAAACGTTTGAAAATCCGGCACTAAAACAAAGCAATGTCATGAACCTGCCGGCATCTCGACATGGTCCGACCACGACGAGATGCCGGCAGGTTGCACTCCTCAATATGCACGCTATTTTCCTTTCTTTGCTGACATGAGGGCGAGATGCCGGCAGGTTGAGGGCGAGATCGCGGCAGAAATCTCGACAAAATACCTCACGAAGTTGCCGGCAGGTCAATCTCTTGGGTCCAAAATTCGAAGTTGTCGGGATTTTTCGGATTTTTTTCGATCTCCATCTGGTGCCCACCTCTAAGCTGGACCGTCAGACCTGGAGAGTGCCAGACTTATTGCTTTGGGAAACCTAGAGAGGGCGTTGGCAGTTTTCATGACCTGAGGGCGAGATCGCGGCGAGTTGAGGGCAAGACCTGCCGGCAGGTAGGGTAGATTACTACGGGCCCTGACCATTTAGGCAGTCTTGGACGATTTTGTTCCAGTTGTGAATTCAGTTTTTCGGCTTAAAAAATACCCATAACTCGGGCTCCAAAGGCGCTTGGCAGATACGGAAGACGGATTTGGAATCACCGTTCAATGCTCTACAAAGTGATATAGGTGCCATGTAGGAAAGCCACTTCGACTAAAGACGCTTCCCTTGTAAGTTCCAAAATCTAATTATTATCATGTTATTCTGCCCTTTTGTTGATTTTCAACATCGAGTTATCTTATGCAGAAAATGAGAACGGAAAAATTTTAAAGAACAAATTTACGGGGGTGAGTCAAAGGTAATGAGAATTCGCATCTCTTCTTACTTTAGAGCTTTTCTCAAATTAGGTAGAATGCCGAAAGCCAAAGGTTCAAATGGTTTACGACACAGCTTTTCTTCCTCTTTCCAAAGCTATAATTTCCAGCCAAATCACTTCGTGATTGCTGAGATATTTGTAGCAATTTTGAAGCCAAGCGTTTGCCGTTTGAATTCTATGGTTTTTTCAGATGTGTCAAAAAATTCCAGATTAATTGGAATGGCAGACGCTTGATTAATTTGCAAAATCAAGTTTGATTATAAAGCATGAAGCTCCCAAATTCGAAAGATTTTGTAAAGTTCGATGCATTTTGGTTTTGAGCGATTTTTTGTAATTCTATTGATCTGGAAATATGAATTCGAAGAGCGTCAACATGCTAGTTTCAAAAGGCCTAAGAAGTGGTAGGCAGGACTTGCTCTGTCCATGATTAATCGAATTTGTTAAGATCTCAAACTCAGAATTCTAAAGATTTGCTAATTTCAATCAAAGCAAAAATGACTGTTCAAATTGATTGTTCAAATTTAGGGAATTTTTTCGACAACTAAGAAGTCACTGGGCCATCGGCCTGGCTGCTGGAAAGTAAAAGAAAAGCTGCATTCAATATAGATCAGGGTACTCTTCTTTCACTATTCTACACAATTTGCGGGAGGTTTGAAATGGGGAACGAAAAGTTCTCATTACTTTTGACTCAACTCAGCACGTACTCATCTCGGGTTTCTTCTCCATGGGCCAGTCTGCAAAATTTATCGTTTTGTTCTCAAAGTCCACAAACATTCTGCATCGCTCTATTTTATAACTATATATACTTTTACATCAACTCCAAGGATAGAAGAAGATGAATTGCTTTTGATTAAGAATGCAAATGGTAGCGTTAGTAATAATTATGAAAAATCAACTTGATATTGCGTAAAATTTCCAAGAGAATGGCAAATCTGCTTGCTTGACGATTGACTTCGCAGTTCAGTTTGGTATGATACCAATGATCAAGCTATGAAACGGTCGTGCAAGCAAAAATTGCATCTTCGAAAATTTTAAGAGATCATTGCAATCGTTGTTTGCTGGGCAGAATGGTATTCGTTGAGATCAACGTATTCAGAGAATAACTCCTTAAGACAGAGGAATACTCGCAAAAATGGCGACGGCATCTAGTATAGTAGTTGACTGTTGGATGACGGCCAGTCATTTGCAGCAGGGCTTGCGAGTGCGGTCGGGGAGCGGTTAGCAAGCGTCATTTTCGTGTAAAAAATCATCCAGGTCAATAGCGCTCGCAAGCATCTTGCTTCAGATGACTTGGTAATGTCCATCAATCGACTGTATATCTCGCTATAGCCTAGGCAACATATCTTCCAATAATTATCAGAATTACATAACGGAAAAAGATGGCGAAAGGAAAGACTTCTTCTCACTGTTCAGCTTGAGCGGTGATGCTGCGGCTGACTACTTATGGATGCACGAAGTAATCAAGCAAATCCAGGTACCTGGGTTTCTCAATGCGAACCCTCTAGGAGCCTTCGGGCAAGTCATTGCCAAAGTAGAAGTTTGCATTGCTAATCTGTGGCTTAAAGAATCGACTGTAAATTCTAGCTCCCTTGACCTCATATGCGAAATGCTGTTTGACCCGCTCGGATCGAGTACGATATTGAACGGTAGCTGTCGAATTCCTCGGCCACGACTGAAATTATGTGACCTACAGTCAAGTTTGGCTTAGCTGAGATATCCATCGGCACCCACTTAAAAATCATACACCCATATTTACCTGAGAGTGCCTTCACGTCAGAATTACAGTTAAGAGATTTTTAGGAACTCCACCGAAACCCCCCGCCTTTCGAACAGCTAGGGCCTGTTATCATTTGACCAGCGCGTCACCTCTGCTTCGCAGAGGCTCGCACTGGCTCTTCTATCTATATGTCATACTCCTTCCCGCATAACATGGCATTGAAACATACCACGCAATGCCGCCTACACGAATGATTCGTAAACAACTACTCATTTCTTAAGCTTTTTCGTGTGAGATCGGTATTTTGCGTGGATGAAACATTGGAAAATGAAGAACAAATGCAAATTTGAACAGGTTTTGAAACTTTTTTGGCTTGGTAGTCGCCGTAAGGACAATAGTTATCGTGAGCTACATCTCTATGCAAAAATCTTCTCAAATGCTCAGGTAAAACCACGGCGGATTGACCATTTACGCGACCATTTCTTTTTGGCGTCGTTTCCGTAAAGTAGCAAACCTTTGGTCACTTTTTGGTCTAAAGTCCATGGCTTACACATCAACCTGCTAAACACATCCACGGCTTTGCGTAAAGCGTTGATACGGACCCAATTTTGCGGGCCAGAAGCCAAGTGGATCCGTTTGGCGCGCAAATTCTGAGGGACCCACTCAACGAATCCGTTCGTGCTTTTGCATGCTGGAGTTCTACCTTGGTAGCATGCGCTATGTAAAGTTTGGGCTCGGGGTGGTGGCTGGATCTCGCTGTATGAATTTCGTTACAGACAGACAGACAGACAGACACACACAAAGTCACGTAAACACCCTTAGCCCGTTATTATAAGTTATGATCTTTAGCGAAAACATAAAGCAGCAAAGCTTTTCTCCATTTATGCAGTGTATGTCATATATTTGTGCGAAGTTCTGCTGTGTGGTGGTCTTGCGTGAGTGTCTTCTTCTGGGATTGCAGTATTCTGTCATCACCGTCAACGAAAGCTTTGTCATTTGCCAGGTGGAATGTCAAGGATAGAGACACCAACATCGCATATGAAAAAGTTAGAGGACGTCAAAGACCCGGATGGTCAACGCAGTCGTGAGTTTGACAGCCAAAAGAGACTCGGAACTTTTGGAAAGGTTCTCGTTCAAGAGCACGATGTGCCTCCGTTCCTTCAACAGCACCCGATCACAACTCCTGCACCGCTTCGTTTGACCAATGTAAATCCATTAGTTCTTGTCTTCGATGGCGCCCCGAATGCTCAATGCCAGAAAACGTTGAATATTGCGTAAGGCAGTTGAGGTTCTAATCGAAACTGCGCTCTGAAGCTAAACATTGCAGAAACGCCTCTAACGATCGCATTGCTTGGAGGGTACTCTCCAACGCTCCTACTCGCTACGTCGTCTCACCAAATAAGGGATTTCTTTTCAGACAAGAGCGAATCGCTGTGAGAATAATGACCTTGAAAAATAAGCAAAACATCAAAGCGTTTTCAAGGTGCAAGTGATTCTTCTTAATGGAGCAAAATATCATCGCCGTCATGCTTTCGTTGTTCAAGTAAAGCCAGCAAGAATGGAAGAGAACAACCGCAAAGTGAGAGATCCCAGCTTATAATAGGTACGGTTTAGCCAAACCAAATTCTAGTTGACTTGGACAGATATGTCGGCCGCAGAAGCGAAACTCGTCCAAAATACAAAGATTGGAACGATGTACGTGTTCCATTTCTACTGTAAAGCAATTATTAAGCGGTCACTCTTTCAGGTGTCCAACTGTTGTGGATATTACACCAGGTTCGTAATCAAAATCGCACATATGAGAGACCGGCCATACAATACCCGTGATGCCTGCAATTCCTGCGATTCCTGTGATTGCTGCGGGTCCCGTAACAATATATATTGCGGAAAAACAATGTGTACTAAAGTCCGCAAAGCGCTCCGTAGTGCGGCACATCGGAAGTCGAGGAATCACAAGAAATGCAGAAATTACAGGAGTCGCAGGAATCACCTCCTGGAATAGTATGGCCGGTCCCATAGCGGCCGCTCCGCTTTATGCCATCTACCACCGTAATCCTCCGCGGCCTAAGTCAAAAATTATGGTGTGCTACAGCTGGCTTAAAGTATTTTAGGGGTCAACTCCTTCTTGGGAGCAATTTCCCACTCCGAAGCCCTGAAGTTACGGTAGCCCATAGTTGATGCAAAAGGACCCATTCCTGTTTGGCCCGGACCTTTCTCAGCAGAATCACTTCTTCGGATGGAACCCTCTCATCCGGATCCTACGAATATCTTTTTTCTCTTATCGCTGGCAAACAGGCTATAGCAGGAATATAAACGCAACCGCTCTAACATTGAAAAAGGTCATAATAATTTGTGGTGCATCTCATTTCACAAGGCAACCTTTACTCGTACGGTTGTTAACCTCCATCAAATAGCTGATGGGTAACGCCTTCGGCACATGGATGGCAAAAACCCCACAATGCAATGGCGGATTCGACGCTGATGATATCGAAGGAGAGGTTGCCATTGTCAAGAGGAACGGTGTCACTAAGATGCTGAATGGAGCCGAATATCGCTTTGGTCTGGGTAATGTTTAAAATTTTGCCCTGTATCGCAGATATTCATCATTGGAGCGCCCCAACTCAAAAATAGCGTAATTTGCGCGTTGTGGGACCTTGGAGAGCACATATTGAACGCAGCTTTAGTCCTCCGTGATCCGGATCCCATGCGAATCCAAAATCTAGTCGACATCCCGAGCATTACCTTGCAAATTCTATGTCAGCCAACCGTTCTTTTCTGTGCGCAGATTAGCGGGTCTGATCCAATTCGAACAGCATCCGAGTATGTGAGAGCGGAATCCTATCAAAGCTGCATTTCAAAGGTCTAAAGTGAAAGGGAAGATTAACTAGACCAAATTGAGTAAGTTTGGTGGTCGTTAATCATTTTCTATTGCAAATAGAAAAATGCCTTTTAATAGTTTTAGATTAGATTCCATGTTGTTGCAAAAACTCAATCTGATGTGAAGATATGTAATTTTCAGTGACATCAAGCGGCTCAAGCACATCTTCGAAATCGGTAGTCGATACAAACTCAGGTAAATTTTACAGTAAGAATAAAAGTAATGTCAAAGCACCTTTGGTTGAGGCCAAGTATTTTGAAAAATTATTTTTCTAAGCGTAATCTTGCAAAAAAAGTAGATCAATTTGCATTGGTCTTTCTGAGTATGCAATTATAGCCAGCAGTGCCTCATCATCTGCACTTTCCAAATCTTCGGTGAAGGATGAAGATCATGGCCAGTATGCTTCCAGAGTAAAAGAACTCACTGAAGAGATAAAGAAGGCAGCAGGTGAGCTTTTAGAAGGAAAACCAGAGCAAAATGGCGAGATTTCTGTTCTAGAACTGAAACAAATCAACACACAACGTATGGTTGATGCTGTGAATGAGGTGAAGAAACTTGAAGTGGAGCTAGATAGAGCAGGGCAGAATCTCAGCCAGATTCAGCAAAAGTTCAACGACCATGAAGCCATCGTTGCTGTTAGTTTTTCTTAAAAATTCTTTTTTTTTGGCTCAGAGATTATGTATTTTTTAGGAGTTGCGCCTACGAGCCAAGAAAATACACGAGCAATTACTGATCGCTCGCGAAGCGGACAAAAGGCGAAACGCTGTGTGAATTTTAAAAAATTACGAAAATATGGTTACATGAATTCGCAGTGATGTTTGTATGGTATTCGGAATGAAGGTTGTTGGAGTACAAAGTGCTTTGCATAACATTTAAGCTTAGCTAAAATTGTGAGCAGCCTTCCGCTCAGTCTTTGCGAGATCCCATTCTTTGGCTATTTTCCTTTTCCCAGAATATCATTTCCCACTCTCAACAGATTCAGACTTGGCGTGTAGTAATTAAAAAAATTTAGATCATGAAACTCTAGAGGAAATCTTTTTTAGAGATCCACAGCCTAGCCCTACCTCGGTCACTGAACTAATCCGTATTCGTATTCGGTTCACAATCTGCTGTTATCTAGACCGATTGGTTCCCTATAAAAGTGATTGTAAACACTGATGAGGCGTCTTGTCTATCAGTCCTTGACTTGAGAGGAATAGCTGGCTACGGGACAAGGAAAAGCACTGGCATAGATCATATTTAATTTCTTCCCTGACACCCAGAGCACTGCTGACAATACCTGTATTCAATTATACCAAAACTTGGATGCCAGGATTTGTTCAGTCAGACGGGGGGGGGGGGGGGGGGGGGAGGGAGTGGGCAAATCCAATCCTTTGCAAAATGCGTCTTACAATTGCCCTCCCCGCCCCCAAATTTTGAGGACTTCCTTCAGTGCTATGGTCAAATGTTCAGCTTTAGTTCATAGTTCGTTTTTTTACTCCCACACCGTCGGTCATATCCAAGATCAGATGGAAGCATTCCATTGTAAAACAAATATTGTTATTTTGCATTCCCAGTTATTAGGTTGACGCACAAGTCATGAGCCAAAAATATAATAAAGTCGTTCTATGCTCAAACAAACTATCATTTTACGCCTTATGCTCTGTTATATGTATCGAAGGTAGTATTTTATATCAAACGTCAGAAAATGAATTTGAAACAAATTTAGTAGGTTTTAGCCAGCTCAGTAGGAATGTCAGAAAATGTCAGAAAATCGAAATTCATAACTACTCGTAAAGACATCGATCACAGTCAACTTTTTGAAGGAAAAGCGTAAGCCATAAGGTCAAGACCAAAAATTTTAGCCATTTTAGTGACCAAAAAATCGAATAATTTTTTGGGTATTCCCCTTAATCAGCTTATATCGCTGCGATTACCACCAAGGTACTTGATTGATCAAGAGGATTTTTGTGAAGTTTATTGGCAATGAACTTATCGTGTCATGCGCATAGTTCCCTGGTGCTCGAGGTTGTGAGTAACTTCTGGAAAGTTTCAAAACCAAAAAGGTTCTTCATCTAGAGTATCGCAAAAGAGACAATAAATTTCGAGTTCTTGGAGTTCAACTTTATCAAAATAAACTGTGAGCCTATTCTAATGAAGAACCCTATGTTGAATGGGCACAAAAGCGTTGTTTAGTTGTTTTCTGGAATACGCAGTTGCTATGAAGAACCCCTGGAAGTACTCTTATTGAACACACCTAGATTCAAAATTTGTTTGAATCTGGACTTAATTACTGTTGCAGACTGATCAAAGGATCATTCGTCCAAGCGAATTTTCGATTTATGCAGGATATGTCCATATTCAAGCCCAATACAGCATAGACAAGAACGCTGTAAGCGTTTGCTCGACTCTCCTTATCTCCGCTCTCTTATTTTTGCATTAATGCCCGAGAGCTAAATAGTTAAAGCTTAACAGTGAATAAAAGACCTCTTATGGCTGACTCTACCAAAAAGATCTCTATAGATATTTCTCGCAGCTGGCCATATTCGCATGGTATAATAATCGTAGAGGAGAATACGAGGCGAGATGATCGTTCGTTCATTGATACGATGGTTATTTTACGATTATATTTATTTAGGCGAGCGCGCTCGTCACCCTCGCTCGCCATCAACTCGCCCATGTCTATCGCTTTTATTTGTGTACAATTGTGTATAACAAACGCTTCTGGCTGCGCTTCTGATAGTCGTCGTTTTTAGTACAACAGATATGTTTGTTATCTCACTCGCCCCCTCTCTACAGCTGTGCGTCATTCAGAACATAAATATTTTGATTCATTTGCAAAATCTTCCATCGCAACAACATCTTTATTACGCTGTATTATGGTTCGTCCGTTGAAAGCTGTCATGTAAGTTGTTTTAAGCACTCAAACTTACGACCTTTTGTCTGCTTAAAGTAAATATTTCAGATGTATCTTAATTTGCAAAGCGGCACAAACGGCTGCGCAGATGCGGCGCACTAAATGACGGACATTCGACATCTAGTGTCGCGTAAGCATCAAACAAAACGTTTTTGACGGAGTATGAGTAAACGAGCTTTTTCCTTCTATTTCGTTAATCACTGGAAAAGATCCTATTACAGCACAGTACGTTAAGTGCTGTTTCATTTGACTTTGCGAGCTAGCATGACACGAAATGCCAAATACGCACCATTTAGCGCATTTGCTCAACCGCTTTTGAAAAGGTACAGGCTGAGTACAGTTGCCCAGCAGACTTATAGGTTGTTAGTGTTTGAAATGTTATAATGAGAGTCCCAAGCAGATCATCAGAAATTTAGTTACCATACTTTCTAAAAAAAGGTCACAGTGCTTTACAGCAGCAACTGGAAATCCTTCTAATTTGCATAGTCCTTTCCCATCCATCAAATTCGACAGTTCCAAAATCTTCTTGAAGATGGACTGCAAAGAAAGTGCATACATCATATCTGAGTCTACTGCTCCAAGCCTGAGTTCAACTGCGAGTTTTTTTCATCATGTTAAGATCACCATCTGAGTGGGATGATCTGTAGATAGGAACCTGTCACTAACAGGGGAAGTTCACTTAGTCGAAGTGGCGATTCGGAATGAGATCTGAACCAGTGGATAGAGTTAAGCTAATCTCAGATATAACTTCTATATCTGCGATGCGTTGTTCGGAAAAATGTTATGAGCTTTTCTAAAGCCGAATTTTCGTGCATTCTGAGTCGCGAAATCATGATAATCGTTACATAAAAGTGTGCAAGCTTGAGCAAACCACCCAGTAAGCGTTGTAGGTCTAATTCGAGTTTATTCGAAACGCTATCGAATGTTTTTCGACCATGTTGTTCATCCACAGGTCGTCACTTCCTTCCTTTATCACACTTCCATTGTATTTATAAAAAAGCCTATAACCTCCATCTAGAAGAACGCGTCGCAGATATTGAAGATATATTTGAGAACATCGTTATACGTTCTATCCATTGGTAGTTTCCAAAAAGTCCCCGACGCGACGCGTTTTTCTAGATGGAGGTACGCGACGCGTTTTTCTAGATGGAGGTTATGGGGCTTTTTTGTTAATGGAAGTGTGATCTAGGAATGAAATGGCGACCTATGGATGAACAACATGGTCGAAAAACATTCGATAGCGTTTCGAATAAACTCGAATTAGACCTACAATGCATACTAGGTGGTTTGCTCAAGCTTGCACACTTTTGTATAGCGATTACCATGATTTTGCGACTCAGAATGCACGAAAATTTGGCTTTAGAAAAGCTCATAACTTTTTTCACAACGACGCATCGCAGATATAAAAGGTATATCTGAGATCAGCTTTTTGAGCTCTATCCACTATTATAGATCTTCTTCCAAATCGCCACTTCGAATAAGTGAGCTTCCCTTGGATGCAATTATCAAAAAACTGTGGGCTGTAACAGCACAAAAGGGGTAAGATCAAATTGCTATTTGCTGGAGGCAATGCGACAATAGCATCCTGCCTCAAATTTTCGGAGTCTCAGACGAACTTCATATTGTTCGCTAATAATTATCAAGCAACCTCTAAATTTCACCCAAAAATATTATAAATCATCACATTGTACATCATCATTTGCCATCATTTGACTGACGATGTTTGAGCACGTCTTGCTTGTTAGGAATAAGAACTCAACATGGCGTTATTGATGCTAAAGCATGCTGGAAAAATTATTTGTATAGCAGATTCTTCAGACTAAGTTTTCATTTTGCTAGTGTTGTCTTTGAAAAATCTTCGCGAAGTCAGTCCATCTGCCACGCAAAATGAAAGTCTGATATAACATACTGGAAACTCGCGTGGTCCCAAAAGCTACCAAAGCACTTGAAGTTCCAGGAGTTCAAACGTTGTTAAATTCTTAGAATTTAGCGAAATCACGTGCCGTAACCCAGTAGTGTACAAATTTCACTGGGGTGAGGGAGTGTTCAATTGAGGTTACTGTAGCATACACTAACTTTGTGAGTGCAACATACATAAACCGCTCGTATGTGAAAAGAATCACCGCGCTCTGCCGGAGTTTGCCGAACTATGCGCCGCATTCCATATCTTGCCAGAGTGCACGAACTCTGGATCCAAAAGCGCCATTCAACTCAGCTCGACTACAATACCGCTCACATTTTTTGAAAAATAGACGCGAATGTATGGACATGTATGGACATGTCCGTACATGTCCATACATGTCCATACATTCGCGTCTATTTTTCAAAAAATGTGAGCGGTATTGTAGGTGCATTTTCTGATTTGAGCAGCACCAATTTGCTGTTATTGACTTCTCCAGCTTTGGTTAGGAATGGTATGGAATGATTGAGCAGCACCAATTTGGTGTTGCGAGGCTTGCTAACCAACAGTTGAGCAATACAAGACTGCTGATTGTGAGCAGCACCACTTTGCTACTGTTAGTACGTTTTTCAGCGTGAGTCAAAATGTAGTTGTGCAACTTCATATCGCTGCTGTGTTCTTCAACACTAGTCTGAATGGTGTTGAACGGTGTTGTGAAACACCAACTTGCTGCTGTTCCGTTCATCGCAGTGGTCAGTAATGGTGTTACGGAAGTGAGCAACACGACTTGGTTCTGTTATGTTCCTTCAGCACAGTTAGGAATAGTGTGGAATGGTGTTGAGCAGCGCCAACTTGCTGCTGCTTTTGCCAATCATCAGTCTACGGTAATAGTCAAGCCAACACATAATTGTTGAGCAGCACCGCACCACTTTGGAGGGCAAGCGTTAGGCGACAAAACGTGCAAAACGCAAGCAACGTAAAACCCGTAACTCAAAACTATGCACCATTTTTTCATTGGCGTCGGGTAATGTATCGGCCCCGACCCCCACCCCCCTGT